TTTGTGGATTTGATTAACAAGTAGTAACATTAACACCATGTAATATTGTTTTGTCGATATTTATGATAATATTTTTAAATTATAATTTATAATTTATTTTAATAATTATAAAAAATATATAATTTTAAAAAAAGTGGGCTGGCCCGGCAAGCCTGTAGCCCACGTACTTGTGGGCTGGGCCGATCGTTTTCTGGCCCACACCAAAAATGGGCTAGCCCGGCCTGACCCGTAAAATGTCAAAGCATGTATGGGTTAGCCCGGATGGGGTGGACTAGCCCATATTGACAGCTCTAGTTGTGATGGCTACTCTGTTGAATAAGGGCGGTACTTTTAGCCAGAATTTTATTATCTTAGTGCAACAATAATTTGGTTGGGCTCCATTTTCGTGCACCATAAGAATGGAAACTTATATTCTCTTTGTTGAAGCCTCACACATCAATATCATGCCTAACCATTTAAAATCTAAACTCTGAGGTGGATAAAGCATCACAGTCGTGGCATCACACTTTTCACTAGTACACACTACACTGTACTGAACAATTCTAAAATTAGATACTGAAAAAGATTCCTCTTAACAAGGATTGCTATATATAAAAAAACAAAACTCACTAACATATAATATCATATATTAGCAATAATCAAATAGCATTACTTTTCACGGTTTTATGTTTTACAAACTAAAGAATATCTACCCTTCACCTTATAACTACCCAAAAACATCAAATACTTGTAGGACAACTGCATCAATATCAATTCTTCTCTAGTAATGTATGACTAATTAACCATTATACAAAAGGTTTATAAATAGTTAGTGCAACGGACAAATATTTATCTGTTTTTGGATGTAGAGTAAAGCTACAGATAATTTTGAGAAGTTCATTTCAGAGTTCCCAATATTGGAAACACTAATAACTGAATTCTTGAACAGAAATATTTAAAAGGCAGAAGGAAAATGCTATCGTGACAATTATATCATAGCAGTTATACAGAAGCAACAAAGTTCTATAGTTGCTGATAATGCTTTTGAAGCTAAATACACATCTGCTGACAGCTAATCACTTATGAGGTAAAGCAAATTAGAAGAGCATGTCATGTGCTATAATAACTCAAGAGGGAGAGTGGTGTTACGAAAAACGTTATTGCATAGTCCAGAAAATATTCTCATATGTTATATATGCAAATTAATGAGCATATTTCAAAAAGTCATCAAAACTTTTTGTTGTTTACGTTGGCTCTATGTTTCTATAATGGACCACGGACATGTTCATTTTCCAGTTGAAAGAGAACTTTTGAATTGAGGTACCATCATATATATATATATGTGTGTGTGTGTGTGTTATTTTATGAACTCGAGTAGGATACTATAAGATCTATATATCTGTATTTTACTAACTATGATCAGTTCCTGATCGCCCCATTCCCCCACACAACCAATCAACAACAACAATATACCGAGGTAGTTCCACAAGTGTGGTGTGGGAAAGGTAGGAGTGTAGGATGTATGCCTACCTTATCCTACCTATCTTAGTTGGGTAGAGAGGTTACTTCCGATTGAACCTTGACTCAAAAGCGGTGCACATAACCAATATGAACGAGAATTTTCTTCCGCTTGAGTGGGCCTTGATAAACACCATTTCCTCTGGTATTAACTCAAAAGTATGATCCACAAACGAAAAAGTAAAAGTTAAAGAAAATCAAAAGATCACATGCGCACAACTATGAGAACAAAACGAAAATAGTTACCTCTAAAAGAAGAGGAGCACAAAAATATACGTCAAAGCAGACAAAGCTAAGTACTCAGCTATTGGTGTGAATTTTGTCTTGTTTCAACGCAATAGGTCCACTTCATCAGATGACATTTGATATTGCTTAATGTGGTCCAATTTCGTCCTCCTACCTTAGATATGTATGAATCTATTATATGGCATATCATGATACAGTAATGTAATAACCCCTCTTACCCAACATTTGGCAAACCTTCTTCCCCATATATCTCGTCTCTATCCCAGCCTCTTCTTCCTATATATAGGGACAACTCTTTCTCACTATTTAACTAATCCATCAAAACAAAAGAAATAAATATAATATAAGATTGCAAAGCACAACACTAAACTTCTCCATTTAGATGGAGAATATTTCTTGTTCCATTCTTTACGTCCTTCTCTTTCTTATAGCTCTTCTCTTATACTATCATATTTCATTAAAGAAATCAAAATGGAGAAACTTACAAAAAGCAAAGCTGCCTCCTGGTTCAATGGGCTGGCCGTACATAGGGGAAACTCTCCAACTGTACTCTCAAGATCCAAGTGTCTTCTTTGCTAGCAAACAAAAAAGGTTCTCTTAATTCAAAGAAAAGAATATTCATCAGTTCATTAAAAGCATATACCATATACTCATTCTATTTCGAATGTTTGTTTGCAGGTATGGTGATATATTCAAAACACACATTCTTGGGTATCCTTGTGTTATGCTAGCTAGTCCTGAAGCTGCCAGATTCGTGCTGGTAACTTACGCTCACTTGTTCAAACCAACGTACCCTAAGAGCAAAGAGAGGTTGATTGGCCCTTCTGCTTTGTTCTTTCACCAAGGAAACTACCATTCTCGACTAAGGAAGCTGGTTCAGAGCTTGCTAGCTCCTGAAGCTCTTCGTAAACTAATTACTGATATAGAGGACTTGGCTATTTCTTCCTTGGAATTATGGGCGGAAAAAAACCAAACCATCAATACATTCAGTGTGATGAAGAAGGTTTGTTACTAGTAGCTCGTGCACCTTGTTGAATTGTGAGACCATCTCATCTAAGAAGCTTAAACTGTTAAAGAGCATACACATTAAATTACTTAATTATATCTTCAAATGAGCTGACCACAAGATTATAATCAATAGATCAGTCTAACACATGAATCTGACGGACATGTTACAGTTCTCCTTTGAAGTAGGCATTCTTGCTATATTTGGTCATCTGGATGCTAAGTACAAAGAGGAGCTCAACAAAAACTATTCCATAGTAGAAAAGGGCTATAACTCTTTCCCTACGAACTTACCCGGAACTGCTTATTACAAAGCTATGGTGGTAAGTAAAGCTTCTCTTATTCCTTCCCTATGAACTTACTGGGAATAACTTGTTTATTCCATAGCTTTATGCTGAAATTTTCTGTTATTGACAAAGGCAAGGAGGAAGCTTAATCAGATTCTTAGAGAGATAATCAGTGAAAGGAAGGAGAAAAAAACGGTAGAGAAAGATCTCTTGTGTCATCTGTTGAATTTCAAAGATGAGAAAGGGAAGAATTTAACAGAAGATCAAATTGCTGACAATGTCATCGGAGTACTCTTTGCCGCCCAGGACACAACAGCTAGTGCTTTAACATGGATTCTTAAGTACCTCTCTGATGACCAGAAACTTTTAGAAACTGTTAAGGTATTGTCTCCAGATTCCTTTTGGTTCCTACCTAGTTTTTTTGCTTTCTATTGATTAGTTAAATAAACACAGTGAAAAGGAACTACACACTATCAAATCACCCGAAAAGATAACTACAGGTAATCAATTAGTTAGCCTACTACAGTAAGCTAAAATGTACTTTAGTGTCAAAATAAATTTGCAGTATCAGTGTACATATGGTGAATCCCTTTCTGTTTCCCATCTCCATTATCACTTCTAATGTTCTATTGCGAGTCCGGCTCCCAGGTTTAAGAAAAAAATCCTTTCAAGTGCAGGCAGAACAAAGAACAATTTACGAATCAAATGGAGGAAAGAAGCCGTTGACATGGGCTCAAACAAGAAATATGTCACTAACTTACAGGGTAATCTTTTCTGCTTAGAATTAGTTATATTATACTCACAGCTTCAGGAAAAGAACATTTCCTCCCATCAGCTAGAAGAACTTCAATTGCAGGTCATTTTAGAGAGCTTAAGGATGTCAAGCATTATATCTTTCACCTTTAGAGAAGCTGTGGCTGATGTAGAATACGACGGTAAGTCATTAGTTATCAAATGTAAGCTCAACCATGGATATATAAGTACAAAAGGATACACATATATAAACTCAGTGCTCCTGTAGAAATGTTCTGATTATCTATTTTAAGCAGACAACTACTTCGTATTCAATACTAGTATGTGTGACGATTAGTGTAGATACATAATAGTAGTTTTTTTTAACTAATCATTCAGTCATTTTATATGAGGCTTTGACTGGACATGAAAATGTATATAACATACCAAAAGTACAGTGGTTTTAAAGATATGGTGTTATTCCTACAGTCGTATTTCATCAAGGGTACCATGAGAATGTTCAAGTAAATAGTTTTGAAATAGAGAACAATGTCAATCAAACTCACATGTCAGACTCATTGGACACAAGTACATCAAGACAAATTGAGAAATGCATGTATTGAAAAAACTTTATTTTGTGTCTCACACAACTGACACTAATTATGTGGGGATTCTTTTTGTCCCACAAGTTGGTGAACCTAAATCATATACTTTTGGGTCCACCGACTTGTGAGATAAAAAGAAGCCTCACACAACTAGTGTTAGTTGTGTGAAGGTTGGTTGAAGCACGAAAATGAAGTTTTCATATGTATCATTATTAATTATACCTTCAATACTCTGTAAGGCATTACTCATTTGACATGAATAGTAAAGATATCTTTAATGCAGGTTACTTGATTCCAAAAGGTTGGAAGGTCATGCCACTATTTAGAAACATTCATCACAATCCAGAATTTTTTGCCGACCCTCAAAATTTTGATGCTTCCAGATTTGAGGTATGTGGTGATCGAGTACTAACAAAGTGCTTTTCAATTCTCCACCTGTCTAGAATTTTAAAATATGAAAATTTGGTTTACTCCTAAAAACAAATATTATGTGGTGGATGATGGATGCAGGTTGCTCCCAAACCCAATACCTACATGCCATTTGGCAACGGTGCCCATGCTTGTCCTGGAAATGAACTTGCCAAACTGGAGATGCTGATTTTGATTCATCATTTGGTTACCAAATTTAGGTTTGACAATGACATCATATTTGCTACTAGATTCATAACTGTATATTATTTTGAGTCCACGATTTTTAACTACTTTACAAAATCCATTGTATAGACTAATATTTAACAACAATAATAACATAGAAAAACTGCAACAACAGCAGATTCAAAAGTTTAAGCCAACAGGTGGGGAATACCAAAGCATCGGGACTTGTCTATAATAATGGGTACAGACTTCTCTTATATATTCTTTTTAAAATTATTTATACAAGCAGATGTCATGTGCTCGCGTTCAAGTGTTGAAGAAATACATCCACTCAACTCCCCACATAATTCTCACAAAAATCTAGTAAAAGGGAAAGGATGAGTTTAAAGAAATTTCTTCTCAGTTCCAGCTTCACTTATATTTATGTCACGCCAGGAGATTTTTAAAATTTCAATTGTACCTACTAGAAGCGTGCTAAATATATCAGTGCTCTGACTTCATTAGAAATTTATACTCATCCATTAATTATTGCAGGTGGGAAGTCGAAGTTTCCAAAGGAGCAGTACAGTATAGCCCATTCCCAATACCTCAGCATGGACTCCCATCTAGGTTCTGGAAGGAAACAAGAAGCCAAAGAGATCCCTAGAAAACAAGATGCCACCTGATAAAAACTAATACTAGCAACAGAAAAGAAAAAAAAAACAGACGATACCTCTGAACTTAGTTTACTGTTTCTGGTGAAACTCATCCGAGCAACTTTTTTGTTTGCTGGGTTCTATTTTGTTCCCTTCGATGAAATTGTACTATAAAATTATTAGTATGTAAAGTCAATCACATTATCTAACAAAGACAGCAATGTCTTTTCTGGCTAAATTGTGACATAATGTATTCCAAGATTATTACTAACTCTGTCCTATAACAACTTATGCCTCAATCTCAAACAAACTGCAGTTAGTTATCTGAATTCTCACTTACCATGTTTCTCCATTTAAAAATTCATCTCAGGAAAACATTATACAAAATAAAATTTAAAAAAAGTACTAGAAGTTCTCTATATTTTATATTGGCATAAAAGTCTCTGAGAGAGCTAAAAGACTTATAGAAGGTGTATGACCCCCAGTAAATGTACTAACATGACGAAACATAGTTTCAGTAAACAGGTTACGCCTACATAGATTCTTTTTTCTTCCACCATGCTCTAGATTAAGCTAAGTTCGCATGGATTCCTAGCTTTATATATTCCAATTTGGTGAAAGAACAAAGATATGACTCATATAAGTTGGAAAAGCAGCACCATAGTGGAATATTACCGGTCAAACGAAATGATGCTCAATGGAACATTTCTGTGTGCATTGCATTGAAGAACATATATTACTTCGCGTGGGAGTCAGCATCACTGGGCCTAAGAAGATCCAAGTGTCCTAGATGCTTGAGTGGCTGCAAAAAGGAAATGGATTGATCTAATGGGAAACTCCCATAGTGGAAATTAGCAATTATGGAATAGGATGAAGGGTCCCATTAGACATGTCACTACAAAAATAGCCATCATGTGTATAGTGCTCCTGAAGCTATAATGGTCTGGTCGGCTACACTCATGAGATTTTTCTGGACTTGATTGAAACAATTGCTATGGGGAAGTAGCAAAATGGAGGTCATATAGACACTAGGGAAAACAACTACCTTGTTATCTACCTACCCCACGCAATCTTAGTATGGAATGTTCCAACAGGAATGAACCTCAATGATAGATCTGAATGGTTGTGACTTGTGACCTGTATATACATACCAAAATTACCTAATAAAAACAAAAGGTCACACCAAATCTACAGAACCATAATAGCCATAAATAAATTAAATGAAAGAGAATGCAAAGGCATCATAGCATTACATGAATAGAATATGGAATACATCACAGCATGTGAAAACAACACGAAAATTACCAAGAAATTTGAGTGTTAAGGGTTTTCTTTTAACCTCAGAGTTTTTCAGGGCATGACTCTAATTTCAGCGTATTTTTGTATCAACCTATGAACAGCAAATTGCATATCTGAAGTAAGTGAATTTCTTCATATATGATTAAGTTTCAGCTTGGGAAGAGTGAATTTCAAAGATAGAACTTCAGGCTCAATTTATCACCTCGATACCCTAAGGGAGGAAAAAAAGCTTGTCAATGTAACCTCAAGCAATATATGGACTACGATATTGTTTTGCAGCAGGAATGTAACTCAGAAAGCTGGCCAAGATTGTGCACGCGTAACTGCAACCATGATGTCGGATGTTATTTTAATCTCTCTGTTTTTTTATGCTAGGGTGAAGGCATATATATCGACATAGCATAACTTTCAAGAAATCAAACTAGTGCCCTCTTATCTGTATTAGGATTTTCATCTTAGCAAGTTAAGGCTAGCAGAATCTAAGAAGCACTTTCCGGAGTTGCTCTCCTACAAGCAACAGATGCTTGATAATTGAGATCCTCTGTGAAGGAAATATGACCTGACATTGCACTACTACTTCTGAGAAGTAGGAAGTGAATTGCATTCCAGTTATGGGTATCATAGAAGCTGCAGATACATTTTAACACATTCTGATATTGGCTATATGGAACATTAGTACATTACCTACCTTAGAGCATTACAGAATTCTTATGAAGCCTGAAAGCCAAGGGCATTCAACGAAAGGCTTCCCCTGAAGATACAGATCGATTTGAAGTTAAAACATCCTGAAATTTACTCGTACAAATCTCCCATCAATATCTATGTAGCAACTGAAAAATTAACCAGCCATTTTAAACCAAGTTTACATATCTGTTTTGGCATCAAACACTTCCAAGAGAGAAGTACCTAAAAGGTAGATTGCAAGCTAAGGGCATCATATTAAAATTTAAAGCCACTAAGCAAAAATCCTTCCTCTAGCCCTATCTCAAAAAAAGAGAGATCGCCATATCCCATGAAGATAAGAAAACGCCTAGATTAAATTTAAATACTTGTCATTCACTAGAACTGGTGTAATAAAATAAGTACAACTCTGTTCGTTCATCATACATCATTTATCAATAACTAGTACATGAATACATATTCTAGTATGTAGTATATAAAAACCAGTGTGTAGCCAGACACACAATTTATACAATTTTATAGATCACTCATTATAAACATAAAAATTCTTCGAAGGAACGTGTATTCATGCTTCAGATCATTATCAAGTATATACGTACCTGTACTTATACAAAACAAGACATGACCTTAACAATCAGAAGTTCAGAACTACCTCATTCCATTTATTTTTCCTCTAAACTTCCTATCCATTTACATTATATTACTCGGCGTTTCTATAACCTACTTAACTAATCTCCTCTACAGCTAACCATAATTTATCGCATCACCTAGTAGAATTACACAAATTACTCTACAATTAAGCGTCATTGATAAATCAATCCGTCCCTGAACAAAAGCCTGAGACAAATATCAACATGCATATTGCTCGACTTGAAGGTAAAATTCGACAAAACATGAAAAAATTAGTACATTCAAGAGACGTTATACATTGCTGAGACCAAAATAGATGATCCGAATATGTTACCGAGTAGAAATCAGGGAAGATCTGTCGCCGGTGAAGCGAATCCTATCGATCGGGTGGGTCGATCTTGTTGTTGCCCTAATTCCCATAGAAGAATATGAGAACGTGTTTTATAAAATTTTGGAGGGAATGCAAACTGAACGCGCAAAATGCAATTTATACTCTTCTTTTTTACGCGTTTGGGAGCACATGAATTTTGTACGCGTGATTCGATTATAGATTTTTTTTAAAAATACTCTAAAATAAATTTTAAATATTTATCGGACGATAATTTTTTTCATTAGACATAAATGTTTTAATTATAAAGAAATTATGTTATTTTAAAGACAGATTTAAAAAGTCAAGTAAGTAAAAGAGATGGAATAATATGTGTATTTTGAATCAAGAGTCATGTGACTTTGTTTAATTGATTGGTTTGTCATGTGAGCGCATGTGAACTACAAGCATTTTGCTTTGAAGATTTTTTGAATAAAATGTATGTAAGAACATGATTCGACCATTAAATAAGTTTGGTGTTGCTTCTCTCTTAATCTTAATCAGGAGTTTTGATTTTGAATTTTGAATATAAAAGAGATTGATAAAAAATACTTTTCCCGAATACAAACTACACGCTGCAATTCAAAATAGTTAAATTTCAATACAAATACTAAATATCACGAAGATATCAGAATAAAGAAATACTATTTAAATATAAGTCCAATGTTGAAGTGAAAAAAAATGGAAAAATTATGTGATTAAGCAAACTTATACTACTTAATTACTCATCATAGTTATAGTTTGCTATAATTACACTCGCGACTAACATTAATCATTAATTACGTGACTTGACTTCGAGTTGTATAATTAGTCACGTTTGTATAATTCGCCACATTTGTATAATTCGCAACTAACAATTCTTCGTTTGATTTGTATTTGTATACGATGGTTTTTATTTGTATATGACGATGATTTCCTTTGGTTTTTCAGTTTTGTTATCATATACATTCAATTTTTTTGTATATAACTTTTTAAAGTTTGTATAAACGTGTGTAGTTTTCAATTTTTGTATAATTTAATTCGTTTAATATATTTTGTATAACTATTTAAAGTTCATAAGTTTATGTTTGTATCAATTCATCATTTCAAGTTTTATCATATTTGTATAATTCCAGACTTTATATTACTCAATTATACAAAAACACACAAATGATACAAGTGTAGCCGCGAATTATACAAATTATTGCTCTATCTCGCTCGTCTCGCTCCCAATCTCGCTTGCCTCTATCCTCCCTCTCCCAATCTTGCTCGCTTTTCTCCTCCCTCTCCAAATCTCGCTCGCCTCTCTCAATCTTGCTTACCATATACACAAATGCATATGTATAATATACAATTATCTGATCGATATACATATACAATTCACCTCTCTCCCACTCTCTGCCCTCTCTTGCTCGCCTATCTCCTCCCTCTCCCAATCTCACTCGTCTCTCTCCTCCCTCTCCCAATCTCGCTTGCCATATATACAAATACATATGTATAATATATAATTATCTAACTGATTTACATATACAATTCACCTCTCTCCCATTCTTTGCCCTCTCTCACTCGCCTTTCTCCTCTCTTTCCCAATCTCATTCGCCTCTCTCCTCCCTATAACATGTAGCTACGAATCGTAATTATCAAACTATAGCTATGGAGCGTAATTAGGCTATTTTTAAGTAGCTATATGCGAAAATTCCTCAAAAAAAATTCTAGTTAAATGGAATGTTCGGATAAATATAGCGATGCCGTCTGTGTACTTTTTAAAAGTGTTATACACAATTTACTTCTGCATTTTGAAATATTTGCCAAATTGATCGAATAAAATGTTATACAAATATATCACTTAATTAACATTGATATCACCAGCAATATATCATTAAAGCTTCAAAACAAATATTGTCACCTACCAAAGTAACCAATATTATATACTATTATATATAAGAGGTCGTTGGTAGAAGTTCATAGTTTAATCGTAATTCCTTTTTTTACCATTTTAATTCCACATCTCGTGTACTATATTCTACTATTTTTTTCATCTAATTTTTTTTCTATAAATATAAAGTACAGACATCCTCCTATAAAGGAAGAAAAAGAAAAGTAGAGATGTGCCAGTTTGTGTGTGTTTATAAGGAGATCCACCAGATTATGAGTGAGCTGGAAGTTAAGCAAGCTAGCTTAAGGTTTAAGTTTAAGTTTAAGTATCTACTCCCTACTTTCTACTGGTGTGACTTTTTTTAATTTGATTAAAAAATTAAAGTTTCCTAATTTAAAATAATTTTAATTATATTTTCCCATTTTATTGTATTTATGACTAGTCATAAGTTTTTATAATCATATAAATGTCTTATTGTATCTCGTTATCCATATAAATAGTGTATGTCATATAAATAGTGTATGTTTGTATGGTATACTTAATTTCATAAACACCAACATATCTAATGTAATATTTATAAAATGATATATGAAAAGAATAAAGTTAGGTGGACTTTACTTATATATATGGTTTTGCGTTTAACCTGGATATAATAGTGTTCACTACTACATATATAAGCTCTTTTTATTCCAAGAAAAAAAAAGTGCATTTTCTATTTTAAGATATTTATGGATTAAAATTAAGTGGTAAAATAGTAGTGGTCCTATCTATCAAGTTGTAGTTCCAGCAACTACAGTGATAAGTTTGACAAAAGAAATTGAAGATTATTTATCCATGGAGCATCTTATCTAAAAAGATAAATAGTTAGAATAATATATTTTTATTATTTAAATATATTTCTAATATACCTCCTTACATACAATTTGATTTTTTCAGATATGTAAAAAAATTAATAATAATTAAAATTTAGTTAAGGACCTTTGTCTGCAACAATACAGTAAAGATTTGAAAATAAAGGACTATGTTCATACATTTTCTCTTATAGTTGGAACTTGGAAGTTAAGCAAAATAATTTAAAATCTAATTAAATTGACTTAATTTAAATGTTTTGAAGTAAAAATAGTTTTTAAGTACTTTCTTACTTTTTTTTTACTATTAGAATAAAATTTTAAAATAGAGGATTTGGTAGGTACACGTGATTCAAAGTGTGATTTACTGTAAAAGATAATGACATGAATATCATGCCCATGACAAATCATGTAACAACTTCAAGAAATAGAGAGTAGGTGAGAATAATAAAGATACAACATACTTTCCCTAATTAGTTGTCCATTTTTTAATTGATACATAAATATGACTCTTAAATTGACTTCAGCATATAACTATGCCCTTCAATTTTGAGTGCGCACAAGTAGACACTTAAACTTGTATAAAATTTAACAAGTAGACACATATGTCTTACATGGCATTATACACGAAGGATGTCATATATGACACAAAATTGTCATGTAGGGTGACATGTAGGACGAATATGTCTATCGGTTCAATTTTATACAAGTTTAAGTGTCTACTTGTGCACACCCAAAGTTAAAGGTCATAGTTATCGACTGACGCTAAGTTAAAGGTCATGTTTATGTATTGTGTCATTAAGAAAACAATGATTGACATAATGAGTATACCATTTTACCTCATTTAATTATGAAGTGGATGAAATAAAAACATAAATTTTCAAGAAGTTTTATCTTTTTCAAAGTAATTAATTGAGGGTATAATAGGTAAAAGGAAATTGTCCTTTCTTGATTTGTCAAAATGGACAAAGTAATTAGGGACTACCCCCTCAGTCCCTAATTACTTGTCCACATTTTTTTTTATCTGTCCCTAAATACTTGTCCATTTTAACAAATCAAGAAAGAACAATTTTTTTTACCTATAATATCCTCAATTAATTATTTTGAAAAGAAGTAGAACCTATTGAAAATCTTAAGTTTTTAATTCATCTACTTCATAATTAATAAGGATAAAATGGTAAACTCACTATATCAATTATTATTTTCTTAATAAATGTATCAATTCAAAAATGGACAAATAATTAAGGACAGAGAGAGTACTAAAAAAGAAAAAATACACAAGTAATTAAGAATATAAGAAGTAGCAATTTGATTTGACTATTAGAGTATTTGTTTAATATTTTTCTATTCCTTTTTACTTGTTCGACTAGTATTAATTATTATTATTTATTTTATTAATGGTATATTGAAAATTCAAATGACTAGTACTCTACTTAATTTAATAGATAAAAATAAAATCAAATAAAAAGTAAAGGTGCTCGGAGGCATCATTGTACATTTGATGCTAAAAATGTGAAGGTAAGAATAGTTTATACATATATTAATAATACATAAATTAGTTATAAAAAAATACATAAATGTTATACAACAGCTAAATTTTATAAGTAATAAATTTATTATTAAATAATACTTACATGAATAATTTACCTCTTCCTTAGCACGGCGTCCAAATATTTAAAGGTTATCAATAACATAAGGAAACCATTAATGAGAAATATACTAAACCACACCCCGCCATTCACAAGATCTGCACCATTGCCCCTTCTTATTCTGCCTTTTCTTCATTTCACACACACAAAACAACATTCTTGTTTCCCTCTATTTCGTTACTATTTCTCAATTCTGATTCTCTCCAGCGCCAGCCTCACCCCCTTTCCCCTCCGGTAGTCCGACCCCTTCTCCATCGGACTTGGCACTGCGGTGGGCATAAGGGCAAATTATTGTTCAAACAATTGATTGAATTTAGATGTGGATTCATTACGTTCTGCTATTTTGGTTGATATTTCGAAATTGAGGTTTCTGATTCTCTGTATAATGGACTCGATTTGGGCGAACAATGGTGCCCCTGCCGCTTCTCATTTGTTCTATGCCATTTACTTCGCTTTTGGTTTCGTCATCGTCAGATTGTTCCTTGACAGATTCATCTTTCGGGTAAGCTTGTTGTTTCTTTTTCTTGAAACATTCATGTGCTGATAACTGATATTTTATTTTAAATGTTATCCTTGTTTTATTACATTTGAGTATTGTGTACTCAATCTTGGTTTGACTCGTGTAATTAGTGGATTGCGTAAAAAGAAGCAGGGTGAAATGGACGTCACATTCAACCAAGAAAAACGACAACCTTCTTATAGAAAACGCATATAAATGTGAGCCCAA